ATAGGCCTAGAGGGAGTACCCAGATCTCCCCTAAATTAGTCCCTATGATCAGGCAAGTGGAGTTACTCTGCCTAAGACCAGTAAGGGCTCCTTCTGTTATGGACATCAGCTTTACCCAAAGAACAGGGAAATTAGAGCACAGTTTGACTAGAAATAGAATTAGTATATGCTGTGTGGCAAACTAAGGAAAAGCAACCTTTCCTACAATGAGTGCAGCCTTTACTTCAGTCAGAACTTACTTACACGGCAGCACGATCGCCAGTGACATGACGTGTTATCTCCGGTTTTATACCTTATACCTTATTTCTCTCCCTCTGCACTGCCTCTAATGCATTCACGCAGTTTGAATGAAAGCTCTAGTTAGGAAATGCTCAGAAATATTCCATCACTTTATATGCAGGTAAAACCTCAAATCAATAAAGGGATAAAGTCCATGTTATACCCTTAAGGGGTAATAAGAGCCTCCAGACATAATGATTTAACTAGGCACCACTGATTAATTTATACATTCGAGCTTTTGGAGTACATTCTTCTTAAGAAGAGATGAGGGCCTGCTTGTAAGGAATCCCCAATGCATTAGACTTAAGGAGAGGGTTCTATATTTGGAAGGCAAAAAGAAGTAAGTTAGCCATTTGGGTTGATGCAAGAAGGAACCATTCTGGCTTGGACAAATCCCTAGTGCTAGTAGGGATGGTTGATTCAATTGTTCTGTGTTTTCTTAGCAATACCAATAGCGTAGTTAGAGCTCTGCATCTTCAGACTAGCCATTTTGCTTTTCTGTGGTATTTTTCTTCTATCATTATACCATCTTGTGCTACTACTTCCCTCCCTCCCCAAGCCTTTTCCCTGGTGACTGTGAAAAGGCCCCACATCTGATAATGAACTTAAAACCTCCTTGGTTCTTTAAAGTGAGTTATTCATTAACATGCCCTACATGACTGGTTAGTAGACAAATCTAATTCTTTCAAACTGCAGATCTGCTCCGAGAAGCTTCTGTAAATCTACTGAAGAAATAAGGGAAGCTTTTTGCTAATCGTTAGATCTAAACAGAAATTTGGAGCGGGGAGAAGTCATTCGTTTACTAGATTCTGATTATAAACGGTGAGTCCACGAGGAGGGAATCAAGTACACCTCTGGCTTGACAAGCACGTAGGGAGGTGCCAGAAGCCACAGATAGGACGGGGCAGGGCTGCAGGCTACCTCTGAGCCTAATCATGGGTCCCAGCTCAAGGGATCTAAAAATCAAGCATTTTGCTTTCTATTTCCAATGATGGCCAGGGTGTGTGCTGTGTTAAGAGGTATGACTGTCTTTTTTCTGTTTTTTGTTTGGCAAAAACAAAAGCTAATTCTAGTAAATGTCAGAAGCTGCAGAGAGGCAAGAAGAGGGGCTGGGGAATGGGTCAGGAACTTGGAAGGGCTGCCTGATGATGCAGATAAAGCTCATTTAGGAACTGTGTGTCTAGCCATGTATGCGTGCTTTTCAGTTACTAGGGTAAAAAAGCCACTTCTCTGTGGCTGATCAAAGCACCTCTCTGGGCCTCAGGAGCAGAAAGCTGTGCTTCTAGATTCCTGTGATATTCATTCTTGTTTAACTCCATAGTGGTCTAGTTTCATTTTCATCACATTTTGTTTACCTCTAGAAAGGTTTTGCAATGGGCAAAGAAACTAGCCTTGCCTATGATTGTATATATATTAGATTTATAACGTAAATAGCATCATTACAGTCAGTAAGTTGGACAGGGTCACCATTTATTGTTGCTGTTATTTTTTTCTCTTTGGTATTGCACATATCTTACAGATCATAATTGAATTTAACTACTATTTTGTTCTTTCAGATAAACATTTAATTTGGCATAGCAATCAGCCATTGGGCTCAATGGCATTTATATAGCTTTTAGTTTTAAAAAATGCTTAGGAGATTATTTGAATTGGTCATATAGTTGCGATAGATGACATTTAAGTGTAAATGAACATACATTTAACATTGAGTTTGAGAGTTTGGTGTGTTTTCTGGAAAAATAAACCCATATAATTTGTGTTAAGATTTTATGAAAGCAAGGTTTGTATCATTTCAGAGCAAACATAACTTGCCAAGTCAAAATTTACAGGTGAAAATGTACACACTCTGGAATCATCATCATAAGAGGTCATGAAATTCCCAATTTCAGATGGCTCATTAGACTTCAGTTTTTTCCTATTCCCCATGAAGAAAAAAAAGTTTGCTATTTATTTCTGTTCTAAAATTGCGAAATGAACTAAAGTAAATAAGTTTTTAACTCTTGCCTAGATAGATGGCCAAAATTACTTTTTGTAGGTGCTTATGATAATAAGCCTGATACAAAGTTGGCCTATGAGTTCTGGCAAAAAGACTGAAGCTGAGTCCTTTAGCATCATTTCGAAAAAACCCAGCATCACCAGCTTTCAGTAGATGTGAAGTATAGCAACATGCCATAGCAGAGGAAACCGAGAGATGTTCAGGAACAATAGACATCTGGCCGGGGGGCTGAAAACCATGGGTCAATTCCCATGGGAACGCCTGAGAGCTTTTCACACTGTGTGAAAAAGATGCTCCTTCAAAAGAATCTTTAATCCTTTTCTTTCAAGGGAAAATTTGAGGACTTTACTGCACATTTCTAGAACCCAAATGGGTCTAAGTTAGTGGGCATTTTTAATTCAGGTGAATAAAATGAAAATGTTTTGATGCAGAGGGATGTTGTCTAAAACAGAATGGGCATAAATATTCTATTCCAAAATTTTCTAAAGTGAGAAAATTGGGCAAGTCCTAACCTGAGTTAGAAGCTAGATGAATTCCTTGCAGTAAATTGGCTTCCTGAGTTAATTATGCATATCAAGCCCTCCTCCAATGAGCCTTAACTTCTCTATGCTCACTAACCGCAATGGTGGAGAAATTAAGTACTCATTCTGTGTCAATGTTCATCCAGCAGAATCGACTCATGCATAATAAAACCATTGGTATATTTATTGGAGCGAAGTGAGTGGAGCTCACCTGGAAAAATCATAAAGAAAGACACTGGTACCTGAAGGGCTTTCCCTTCTCTCTAATAAACACAAAAGCAAACACTGGGCTTACAAGACAAATTCAGGCCTTTGGATTATTCCACCACATAAAGTCAGAGCTAGATTGTGTGCTAGTCTGTTTCCGTTCTGTTCTGAGGGGAAACAATCTGTTATTGGTGGGGGTAGGGTCACAGAAAATCTCTCTCTCCAAGAAATAAGAAAATGTTGCCAAAAAATTAACAGGTGGTGAAGTTGACAAATGACAAGTGAACTACACCTGCATTTAACGCTAAGGGGCCAGGCATGTTGGCAATCCTAAAATCCCAGAGGTCTGGGAGTCTCAGGCAGGAAGACAAGTTGAGCCTAGTACAGGCAATTTAGTAACTAAGTAAGACCTCATCTCAAAAGAAAAAAAAATTTTTTTTAAGAGTTGGGGATGTAGCTCAGTGTGAAGGCCCTGCCCTGGGTTCAATGTACAGCATTGCTCCCCACCCCAAATGAGAGAAAGGACAACCAATATGTTAAAAAGAACCAAATGGAACAGGTATTTTTACACTGTGAGCTCATTTTAGTTAGTTCTACAGGAGTGTATTTATGAGCTTTTAAAAAGGTGTAGCACGAGTATGTGTTTAACAGAAAAAAGACCCATAAGAATAATAATGTTATTAAGGGTATAGTTGATGTCACTTCTTTTGTGGTTGCTATACGCCAGGCTCTATGTTAAATGATTAATGTAATCTCATTAAACCTTCCAACAACCCAGGTCACAATTCTCGGGTGCAAATGAGGAACCTGAAGCTCAGAAAGTTCAATTAGTCTGCCCAAGTTTACACTGCAAGGAATGCACAGCTGAGACTAGAACACAGTTGTAACCAGGCTCTCATTACCACTCTACTCTTCTCGCTGGAGTCCTGTGGTGTGTCCAATTCTGGATCCTATATGCTTTAAAATATGTAAGAACATTGGATAAAATCCAGGGATAAAAACCAGTAATAATGACTAGAGGATAAAGAAAAGGGAACACTAAAGAAAGCCAGTTTATTTCATTAAGAGACTGCAGAAGTACCTTACAAATCGTAAAGTTACTAAGAAAAAACATGTCTTCTTAGGAGGACTAGCTTCTCTATTTAATAAAGAAACTTCCTGGAGATGATTCTCTTTATGAGAATGGTGTAAAAGGGATACAAGTGTCCAGGAAGATTTATTAGGTCATTCTCTTGGCACATCCAACCTGGTTCAGCGGAGGCCACCCTGGCCTCACGCCTCTGTGGGCAGCATTCACTCCTGGGGAGCCAGGGTCTCCATCCTGTGGTCCTGAACCAAGCTGGATTCTTCTGCAGGACAGGCCTGAATGCTGTGCCCGCAGACGGATGACTTGACAGGAAATGGGCTCACTACAGGAACAGACAAACCAGGGGAAGAGATTACAGCTTAAAAATACGGTTTTTAAAACACACAACCGTTTAAACCATCAGAGAGCATTTCTGTGCTTTTTTTTTCCGTTGAAGTAGATAAAACGGGATATATTTTACTCAAAAGTCCTCACAGATTTTTCCTGAGAACCTCTCAGTAAAGAAAGTGGGGAAATAAAGAGTAGGTGCGTTTGCAGAGTGAATCTGCTCCTTTCCGGCAACGCCAAGGCCTACGCGGAGGAGGCGGGCAGTTCCTCAGCGGCCGAGGCTGGGGACCAGTTTCAAAGCCTGTGTGACCTCCGGGTGGAAGCCTCGCAAGCT